CAGGGAAAGACTCCCAGGAGGTTTCGGGACACACATGGAGGGCCCATCCCATTCCCAGGCCGCAGGCTGGGCCCCTGGAGAGGAGGAGTGTCGATCAGAGATCAGCATACTTTCCAGGGCGCTGTCTTGCAGGGGACAAGCAGCCTTGCAGGGCGGCAGAGCAGAGTGGGAGCCAGCCGAGGCTCTGCGGCTCGGAGAATGGCTTTCTCTTCCGCCCCAGCCTGGCCTCGCTGCTGGCAGGGCTGGGTTTCGGCCTGTTTGCTGATGCGAGGACACATCCTGGTCTGGGTTGGCCATTGGCATTTGCAGATGAACAATAATGACCCTGATGATGGAAATGCTACTTGTTTACTCTGGGCCAGCCACTGTGCTCAGCATTTCCCATTCATTGTTTCATTTAATTTCACAAGTAAATATAGTTATTATCCCCGTTTTAGAGGTGAAAGAAATGAGGTGACAGAGTAGGTGAAGTGTTTTGCTTGAGGTCACCCAGCTAGGGAGTGGTCAGGGTGGGACTCAAACCTGAGTCTTCTGAGAAAGCAGAGTCCACACTCTTCGCTGAAGGGCGTCCTCCTGACAGGTTCCCTGCGGAGGGAGGGGCCTTGGCCTTGCTTTCTCCTTCCTGGCCAACTCCTACTCTTTCTTCGCCTCCTGATCCTAGACTCTCAGGCCCCCTGTGCACACCTGTCCTGTAACTGCTGTCTCACCTGTGCTTCCAGGGCAGATAAAGCACTTATGTTAGGTGCTTTATTTATATTAACACTAGAGGCCTGGTGCACGAATTCGTGCATGGCTGGGGTCCGGCTGGCCCGCCCGATGGAAGTCCATCAGGCCGGGCCAGTTGTGGGGGAGGGGTGCCAATTGGGGCCCAGATCAGGCTGGTTGGCTGCAGCAGTGCGCATCATAGCCACTGGTCGTTCTGGTTGTTCCACTGTTCGGGTCACTGGGCTTTTACATATATAAACAGGAATGCATGCAAGGGGCCCTGGAGCCCACAGGTGGGCCAGCAGCTTGGACACAGGGATATAGGGACAGGCTGGGCTTCTCCCTGGCAGGACAGAGGAAAGTGAGACCCCTGAGAGTGGCCTTAGGTCTGGCAGGCACCCTGGACCAGGGCCTCTCTCTGCTCGACACACTGTAGCAGGACTGGCTCATGGAGGGGCTGGACATCAAGGGGCTGGACATGCAGAGGTTGCATGTTTGGCCTGAGAGGTTCTAGGCCCAAGTCACATGCTTGGGAGGGGAGGGACCAGTTTGGGCCTGTCTGGGGAGGGGAGGCTTGAGGAGATCCCGTCTCACAGATGCCCAGTGCTGCTTGCTCACTGTCCAGCCTGGAGGCTGCAGTCGGCTCGTCCATGCTGCCCCCAGTGGCCCTTTTCCACAGCTGTTAGGCTTTATACATGAAAACAGCCATACACAGGTCAACATCTCCGCCTCCCCACTTCCTAGCTGTGTGAAGTTAGTAAGTAATCTAACTTGCAGCCCATTTCTCAATGGTATTGTGGGGATAGTGAGGGTGAGATGAGATTCAAGGAATACCTGGCTGCTCTCTTCAACCCAGGGGCCTTTAGGGGCTGGTGTGAATCCCTGCTGGGAAGAAGGAGGTTGTCTGTACTCTCCCCAACCATGGGCAGCATTAACGGGGCCCTGGGAGGGGGAGGTGGCTGAGCCCCAGCCCCAGGCGGGCCCTCTCACCCCTAAAGCAGCTCCAGCTCCAGACTTACCCAGCAAGACAAGAGCCAAGAACCCAAGCACCAGGCTTGGGGACAGAACCTGACTGAGGTGGGCTCTCATCTGTGCCCACTCCTAAAGGTCTAGCGGTCTGGAGCCGGCAAATGCTAGAGCCAGAGGCAGCTGGAGGCCGAGCCCTCCTTCAGCCTCCAAGGAAGAGGCTGTTCCTCAGAGCCACGGAAAGGCACCACCCTGTTCTCAAGGCTCTGCTTCCAGGCCTGGCTCCACCATCTGAGGGAGGGAGCTGGGGTACTTGTCACCCTCCTGGAACCTGTGTCCGACGTGGGCAAGGACCCGTGGGAGTGGGCCCTCTGTGGTGTCCTGTGCTGATGGGGCAGGTGGTAAAAAAGGAACCTGTGACACTTATGCCCACCCAGGGATCAAGTGAGGATGAGTGAGTGTTTCTTGAAACCAAAGGGGCTGTGTCACTCCCACTCTCTCCATCCCAAATCGGGAACCAGAAACAAAACAAGCCAGGAGCAAGCAGAAGACTATTATATATCATGCTTTTAATACAAACTTAAAAAAATCTGGAACAATATAAACTGTACAGATTTGATCAATCTTTTTGTTTTGTTTTTTAAACTAAATCTCTAAACACACCAATGTCCCATTCCAAAATATTGCACAACATTCTGAATACAAAACGCTGATTGTATTCCTCCTTCACTAAAGAAAACAAGTTCACTGCCCTGCTCCCCAAGCCCCTCTCCACATGGCCTCAATGCCCCCTTCCCATCCCTAAGGGTCAAACTAGAGAATCTAGAGCTCACTGCATTGAGAAAAATACATCATTCTGGACTAAAAGCTTACACTCTTTACAAGATGATCCACCTTCTGATTTGTTCCTGGAAAGAGGGGTAGATAGAGGATGGGGAAAGGGGAGAAAAAGGTTTTATTCTCCTCTTTTTTATTTTAAAGTTTGTTTTTCCTGAAAAAATATCTTTGTTTCTCTCCTCTTTTTAAGAAAAAATCTTGAAAAGAAAAAAATTACATTTTACGTTAGAAATATACATATATTATATATACCTCTTACATTTTACAAATGTAGCAAATTATTCAATACAAACGGACACCAAAAAATGTAAAAAATAAAAAAAAAAGTTTTCCTACCAAACCAGGTAAATTAGTGCAGATTTCTGTTTCTGTTTTCTTAAAATAAAAAAAATTTGAAGCAAAAATGCCTAGATTTGAGACAAGACAGACTGAACTGGGCCCAAGAGCCCAGCACTGGAGTCATGCTCCTGAACACACATTTTTCTTCGTATTTCAAGACACTAAGGGGTTGGTCTCGCCCTCTCCCTACATGTGGCGAGAAAACAAGCTGACCAGGTATGGGGGGTACCTGTGTGCGTGAGTTTGGGAGGAGGGAGCGGGGAGGGGGCATAAGGCAGCATCCAACCTTTCCCAGGGAGCAGCAACCTGCCTGGGCCTGTCACCTGTGTGGGAGCCAAGGACTGGGGAGAGAGGGTGGCCCAGATTGGGCTGGCCCCTGAGGAGTCTAAGGGGACAGATGGTGCTGGGCTGAGGAGGCAGGGCACTGCCCTGCTGGGGGAGGTAGAGCTGGTGCCCAGTGCGGGGAAGGCTGGCAGTGTCTATCTGGGCTGGACCCACTGCCAGAGCAGTTGCCCACTTGGGTCACTGGGGAGGATGGGGTGGGGTGCCGAGGGCTTTGGAACTTTCCAGTGATGGGGGCCCTGATGCCATGTGCCCCACTTGCCGAAGCATCATGGCATGGAAGCTGGCCCACTACGGTTGGGTTGGAGAAACAGCTCTTCTGGCAGAGGTGGGGAGCAAATGCTCTTCTATATCCAAATGCCCCAGCTTCAGTGGCTAAGCCTGGCCTGCTCAGACCACTCCTCTGGCATCAAGGCCCAGTGGGGTTAGGTCGGGCAGTGAGAGGGGATGGGCAAGAGGTACCAAAATGTTCCCAAGCAGGCACGACAACATCTACAGCCAAAGGACCCAAAAGTCTCAATTCAAGGCTCAGGACTGCCCACTACAGGCACTGATTCAGAATTCCCACCCCAGGGTGCTTAGGTGAGCAGCTCCCACCCTGGGCTAGTCACACAACAGGAGGGTCCAGGGACTTCTCTTAGGCATCAGAGGCTGGGTATTCCCCTCAGCCCCTCACAGCTACCCCCCCCCCCCCCACCCGC